CTTCATCCAATATGCAGAAAATCTCAATTCTGGATAATTGCTACTTTTATAGGGGATTTTGGATATTGAGATGGAATTCAGAAGAAAGAAATGTTGATTTAGTGCCAAAAACTTATGAGATTTTTGTGGACTTCAATTGTAGCCTTGATTGATTACAAGATATCTGTCAATTGTCATTTGTTTTGTCCCTTCATATCATTATTTTTTCTTTTCCTTTTTTTTTTTCCTGGAAAAGGGACCTATAAATAGCATCACAATTACATCATCTCTCTCTCTAGATTTAATCGTTTTTGGAGCTTCAATATTAGTTAGAATACATCTTATAATATGGTACATAAAAATATATAAAGAAAAATATAATAATATTTTTTATATAATTTAGTTGTTTGGTTATTTTGGTTATGTAAATTAAAAAAAAAAAAACTGAAACTGAAATTTTCGTCACGATCAGTTTAATTTGTCGGTTCATATAAATAACTAATATTATCAAACATAAATTATATTATTTAATATAAAAATCATGATTAGTATTTAATTTCTTGTTTATTTGATACTTCATATTATGTTTCGATTAAAAAAATTAGCACATATGCAAACGAAAAATATGGTGCAATCTAACAGTTAATAAGGAGCAATTCATCCAACAATATGGTGACAGTGTCGGTCTATATTGTGCAGATTGTACCTACCGAAATTTTGTCCAAAGATAAAAGGCTTAATTGCAAATAAAACCACGACCTTTTCAAAATTTACAATTATATGCATCACTTTTAAACTTGACAAATATATACACCACTTTTACAAATTTTGGCAATTGTATGCACCGGGCCCGATTTCGGGCTTTGTTTGCTAACAGAGCTAGTGACGTGGCGATTTTGCTGACATGGCTGGTGACGTGGCTGACATGTAAATATTTTGCTGACGTGGCGTCAAAAATTATAAGCAGAGGCAAGGTTCGAACTTATGACATCTAGGTTGCATTATGGAAATGAAACCACCACACTATTCCAAGTTATGTTTTTGATACAATAGCAATTAATATATATGGACACTAAGTACTAACTAGTATTAATCCTGTGCATATGCACAGGTTACAAAAAAAGGTGAAAATAAGTAAATGTTATATATAAAAACCATAATTAAAACAAAATTTTATTTAATACTATGTATCACATATATAATCAAATTACATTAGAGACTCTTAGTTGGATTTTTATATTTCGATAAATATGAGGAATAGAAATGTATAATTTCCCATATATAAATGACTATTATTATATGAACATAATGAATAACCTAATTTTTATACAATTTGAATATTTTATTATAACAATAAACATAAAAATATTACCAAAGATAAGTTGATAAAACTAACATCAATTTACATTACTAAAATGGCTGGAAGAAAATAGGTAGGATTATTTATCATATATATATTAACTAATTAATAATAAAATCTTTACAAATGAAAAGACTAAAAAATTGATATGGTTATGATTTATTTTTAAGACTTTATTTCCTAAGCTGAATTCAAAAACTACATGTTATTTTACTTCAAATAATTGCATTAAAAATTAATTTTATTGCCTTAATTAAAATGAATAAAAATAAGCGTGAGTAACTTAAAATTCAAATGTTAAATAAATGTAAAATCAGAAGAAAGAATATATATAGTTACAATATTATAATAGGTACATAAAAAATATAATTTTACTTATCAAATTAAGAGTGCAATTATATTAATTTTTAAGACATGGCCGTTACAATTTTAATTAAATATTAGAATCTATTAATATATAAAGAGGGAATGATAGTTTTTTGAAAAAATCATGTAGAAAATCAACAAAAAAAAGATTTTGTTTCCCGCCTAAAATATTTACTAAATTGAGTATTTTTCTTTTTTTGCCAAAATTTGAAAAATTTTGCTTATGTGATATCTTCTTTATGTTTTACAAAAATTTAAACTGTGAGTATTAGATAAGTTTGGAAACAAAAATCAAGCTTAATTTTGTGTCTATCCAATATACTTTTTGTGTCTATTCAATATACTTATGCTATTTATTTTCGTAAGAGCCGAATCTCATGCTAATAAAAAATCGATTTTTGTTAACAATTTGTATATAATAATTTTCACAACAATTGTGAAATTGTGCACAATCAGAATTTAACAATTTGACCAAAAACGTTAAATTAATGAAATTGGGCGCAATCAAGAAACTAAATAAATATTTACAATTAGAATTTTAATTTTAAGGATAATTGGTAGTTGTATATTTATCTTTTATTTGAATTATGTATAGCTTTGAAAACGATAAAACATAATTTTATCAAGCATATTTTGTTCGTGATAATTTGTTCATTTATTCTTCCGTTTTTTATAATCGTCTATTAGTGAAAGATTATGTTTTTTTAACTAGTTTTTAGAAAAAAAAATGTTTTTTAGTCGAAAATATTAAAAAAAAATAAGAATTATCATAAATATCAAAATAATTTTTGTAGTTATCAGAATTATAAAAATAATTAACAACTATTTAAAATTACTTATTTATATGGACTATATCATTCATATTAAATCTAATAGGTAAACATATTGATATGAACGAAAGAAATCCATGTTAATCAATACAAAACCACATGTATATATAGTGTATGTTTTAGCGTGCAATTTTGATGGTAAATCTATTAATATATAAAGAGCAATGATATTTACTTGAAATAACAACTAAAAAGAAATATATATATTTGGTTTCCCGCCTAAAGTATTTACTATATTGAGTAATATTTTTGGTCAAAATTTTAAAAATCCCGCCTAAATTAATGTAATTAATGTACAAAATTATTTTGGTCAAATATTGCGACTATTACCTTTATTAGTTGAATGATTTAAATTTGAAATATAATATATTGACAAAACTTGTATTTATTACCTTTATTAGTTGCATAGTTTAAATATAGTATATAATATATTGAAAAAAAATAAAAAATTTAATAATAAAAAATAATTATTCATAACTTACGGGTCAATATTAACTTCGAGGTAAACGAAATAGTCAATTATTTATAATTTAATAAATTCTCAACTACTTAATTTTTGTTTATTTGAATAGTTTATACAAAATAAATTATTTTAAGTAATGAAACAATAAATTTTATATTTACACTTATTATTCACATAGATTGTTAAACATATGATAACATTTTATCAAAATAACTATTTTATAAAATCACATTACAGTCAAATCGAAGTTCTGAATAAAAATTTTAAAATGATACTTATTTTAAAACGAATATAATGTAATTTATTATCAGTTATGTGCGCCACACGAGTTGTGTACTAATTTTAAATAGAAATTGTTATGTAATTTTGTAGAATTTAAACTTTATATTACATTTTCAATAAATTAATATAGGTAATTGTATTAAATATTGATTCTATATTTTTAATTTATAGATATTACTTAATAAAAAAATCTTAATTTATCAATATTAATGAATATCTCTTACCCGTGCACTGCACCGGACTCATACTATAATTATAAAACAAATAAAATTTTAAGTAAACATACTAAAAATAACTCAAAAAATTGGGCGGGAAAAGTAGGCTATCCTCATTAATTGGATAGCCTACAATTATATATATATAGATAAACACAATTAAAATTTTAAAGGTAATGTATCTTATATTAATAAGATATAAACTGATAATAATTTAAATATAATAAAATAAATTATATAATATTAAATGAAAAATAAATTATAATAAAGTAAGATAGATTATTATAGTACAATGCATTTTAGTTAAATTAAAATAAATTATTATATTTATTATTTAGTAAAAAGAAATTAATTATATAAATTTGGAAATGAAAAATAATATTCTATTTATTATATTATCATATATTTTATTACATAAGATAATACAAGGTAATATAATATAATATAATATTATATAATATAATATATTTTTTATAATATAATAAATATAAGATAATATAATGTAATATTATATTATAAAATAATATAATATAATATAGTATAATACATTATCGTATATAATATAGTATAATACATTATACTATATTTATTATATTATAAAAATACATTATACTATATTTAGTATAATACATTATATTTATTATAATATAATATAATTATAGTATAATACATTATACTATATTTATTATATCTTATATTTATTATATTATAAAAATAATATAATATAGTATAATACATTATAATATTATTATTACAGTATAAGAAATAATCATTATCGTATATTTATTATCTTATAAGATAATATAATATAAGATAGTAAAATAAAATAAAATAAAATAAATATTTAAAATCTTATATTATATTATCTAATATTAAATAAAATGATAATAAAATAAATATTTTATTATCTTATATTTATTTTATTTTTCCATGTTTTATAATTTATTATCTTATATCATATTATTTTTACTCAATTTTAACTTGTGTACTTTAATCTTGTTTATTTTTTAATTTAATTTTATCATTATTATTTTTATTTCCAAATTTATACAATTATTTTTATTTAAGAAATAATAAATATAATAATTTATTATTTTAATTTAAATGCACTGTACTATAATAATCTATCTTACTTTATTTTAAGTTATTTTTTATTTAATATTATATAATTTATTTTATTATATGTTAATTATTATAAGTTTAGATCTTATTAATATAATTTACATTATCTTTAAAATTTTAATTGTATTTATTAGTACTTAATGTCCATATATATTAATTGCTATTGTATTAAATACATAACTTGGAAGGGTGTGGTGGTTTTAGTGCCATAATGCAAACTAGAGGTCACAGGTTCGAACCTTGCCTCTGTTTATGATTTTTGCCGCCACGTCAGCCGCTATGTCGTTAAAATATTGACATGTCCAGCCACGTCACCAGCCATGTCAGCAAAATCGCCACATCACCAGCCCTATCAGCAAGCAAAGCCCGAAAATGAGTCCGGTGCATACAATTGCCAAAAATTGTAAAAGTGGTGTATATATTTGCTATGTTTAATAGTGATGCATGTAATTGCAAATTTCGAAAAAGTCATGGTTTTATTTGCAATTAAGCCTAGATAAAATTGAAAATTAGCATAATCAATTGGGTTATTCGGTTCAATTAACCGAATTATCCCAAATAATTGCAATAATATTTTTTTTATATCAAATTATGTTTAATATGTTAATATTTTTATTTATTAGTTTTATATT